ATAAAATGTTTTGTAATGTTTTTTTGTGCCGCAACTCCCAGCCTGCAGCTCTCCTACAAACTCCCACATCTTGACTGATTAATGAGGTTGTTTAGATGTGTGTCGCTTCGCGGGCGATCTGAACGATGGTGTAAGCGAGGCTTCGGACGCCATCGGTTTTGGCCTCTCCCCTAAATAAAGCATGCCTCCAATACTCGACAAACGCCTCGGAGCCTGGGCTCATCTCATAACTTCACTACTGTGGTCCTTTACCGTAGACTCATTCCCATCCAGCAGATTCTGCGTTAGCCTGCGTAGCTCTAGCAGGCCGGTGTGAAGGCTCCCCGTAGGGACGTCCTTCACCGAGGACGTCTCTGAGGACTCGTCCATGGAGGAGTCGGTAGACAGCGCCGAGTCTGTGACATCATTTCCCCGCAGATGGGAACAGAGCGAGCGGACTTCACAGTACGCCTCCCACAGTTGTAGCCGCAGCTGGACAGGAAGCGTTTAGACGTTAGTGATCCATGCTTCCTGTGGGCATCGCTGCAGACGGGGGCGGGGTCAGGCCTACCTGCTCCCTCTCCTGCTCCTGCTCCTCCTGCTCCATGCTCTGCTCTATCTCACACAGCAGGCTGGACGGGTGGGGGGTGAGAGTTTGGAGACTGTTCTCCTCCGTCAGCTCCGCCAACTTCGCTGTCAGATGTCTGCGGGACGTCTGGACCTCTTGGAGCTCCAACTGGCTTTGTCGCAACTTCAGCAAAACAGAGCAGATACAATGTTGGACTTTTCTCTATCATCTATCTGGGAAAAATAAATTTAGCGACTTGGAGACGCAATTAAACAACCAGGCCTGCAGTGCTGGAAAGTAACAAGGTATATTTACTACATTACTGTACTTAAGTACTATTTTTGAGTATCTTTACTTGAGTAATTTCCTTTTTTTACTAATAACTTTCTACTCTGCTCCATTTCCAGGAAGCTCCCAGTTCCTTGTTCCTTTTGGCTCAGCTTAAATCCTCTGTTGCTGTTTTCCTTTCCTGAAATGTAATTCCATCATGGCGGATAGCAGCCATTAGGACTGAATCTGGACACCAATATTTTAGAGATTTAATAACGTTCCACAGATGTGAGAAACTCAGAGCAGATATTATTAGTAGTTTAAAATGTTATTATCATAATTTCATCATTCTGCTTCATTCTATCTCTATAGTTCTGCTGCTATAGGCTTAGACTGCTGGAGGACATAGGGACCCCTTTTTCTTCATTCTGCTTCATTCTATCTCTATTCTCCCACTCTGCAGAATCTGTTAGTTCAATCTCTAACGTTCTGCTCTCTCTGCTTTTTCTCATAGTAGCTTCCTCTGGTCTGTTCCGGTTTGGCTGTGTCTCTGTGTTGTCTCTGTAAAGTGACCTAATGTGATGTGTTATGAATGAGCGCTATATAAATAAACTGAATTTAATTAAAATTGCATGTCGTTGTCACGTTCACTTACA